ACATACATACATACATACATACATACATACATATATATATATATATATATATATTTCAACCAACCTTAATGTTTAATGAATAAATTGAAAAAAAATCAATTCAACTCAGGCTAATTTCTAAACAGATGATTTGAATAATAAGACTGAAATAATTTTATAAAAAACAAATAAAGAAAATATAAAAGCTCTATTTTTAATATACCCTGTAATAAAGGTTGAAATAGCAAAAAAATAAATTAAATTCATGAAATTGAGATAAATTTAAAAACATAAATTGAAAAAAAATTATAAAATTTATTTTCCAAACAAATAATAAAAATTAAAAATTAAAAAATATAATAAAGGTTTTTTTAACATTAATGTCAAATCATATTTTTCTTTCCTTCTCAATCATCTCTCTCTCATTTTTTAAACCTAACACAGAAGAAAGAAGAGCTCCCAGCTGATAGAATAAGTTGTCAATGCAGAACAATCATGTTTTTTTTAAAAAAATATATATATTTTTTTTAAATTAATTATATATATATATATATTGGATCATTCTTAGAAATAATTTTAAAAAATAAAAAATATATTATTTTAATATATTTCAAAATAAAAAACAATCATAACTATACTTCAAAACAAATATTAAAAAAAAAATCATAATCCCAGGTTTAGTAACTTTACACGATTTTTCTAGATACTCTTAAAGATTTTATAAATGATATGCTGTGACGTTTATTCAATTTTATAAATGTTAAAGACGTCACAACATATAATGTTAACTTCAGTCCAATTTTATAAACGATCCCACGATTTTGACAACCATGAATAAAGATACTCTTGAAAAATCGATGCTCTGATTTGACAGGAAATCCAGCAACCCCACGTAAACGAGGGCGTGAACTTCAAAGACAAGCAAGCTCAAACACAATAAAAATAACCTTAGTAGGTACAAAGGTGCGCACTAGAATATCGAGTCCAAATAAAAATTGCAATGCCTCCTGTTGAACTCTAACAAGCTACCGTAAGTACGGTCAGCAATACCAACAAAAAGAGCTTCTGTATCGGGGCTGAAAGAAATGCCAGCAATCTCCCCAAATATATCTATCTCCTGGCATTTGACGTAATCAGACTGTGTATCAAAAACATGAACGAAGTCCGCAGGCTCAGCCATTGCCAAAAAGCGACCATCTGAGGAGAACTTTAGACCTCTTATTGCCCCCATATTCCCTTTTAATACTGCAAGGGACTGGCTCAGATTCCTTATATCCCACAGCCTGCACGTAGTGTCTTGGTTTCCAGTGGCCAAAACCTGTCCGTTAGGGTGCCAGGCAGATGCAAAGGAATAATCCAAATGCCCTTTGAGGCTGCCGGTCACTTTCCCTGAATTGGCATCGGCAATCAAGCATTCAGCACTGTCCCCAAGCACCGCAAGCAGTTTACCATCTGGGCTAACAGAGGTGTTCTGAGATGAACAATTTTATGGAGTAGTGTGAGCATGTCATAAATATTTGAAACCAGAAAAGATTTAAGAACTCTCAGGCAGTTTCTGGTGGAAGGCACTCACGTTTACAGACCAATTAAAGGAGAAAGTATTCAGCGAAGCAAACGTTTCAGCATCAAATACTCTGACTTTAGCATCGTTATTGGCAACCATAATCCTCATTGAGCCACTGCAAAAAACACGAGTCAAGTTATTAGCTATCTCCTTGGGGAAAGAAAAAGGCTTTCAAACTTTTTGTATTGACTAGTTCCTCACTTGTGGTTACGATATACATCCACTGCATTGGTTATGGCATTTTCACCTGTTGTTATTTTTGTGCAGAATGCAACTCCAGGTTGATTCAAATACTGACCAAATGAAAGAACAGATCAGAAGACACGTGAGAAATCAAAAATCTCATGTCAAAGGTTCAAAAGAAGCACATATACTCATCCAGCCACTTCGTTACCATGCAAATAAGTTCTCCTTGGAAGCCGCCTGCAACCATCAAGTTCTCTTTAACAGCCATAGTGCTTATCTGCACTCTGGAGAGTGACTTAGACAACAATCCTGGGCGTTGCTGTAAAAAAGAACAGGAAATGCTTCAGACAACAATTAAGTGCAAGACTAAATTATGGTAGTCATGTTCACCCTGGATCCCAAAGTCATACCCAGGTCGGAGCAATTGGTTTAGCCACATTGAGTACTTCTTTGCCATGCCGCAGTAGTGATGACCAATGCATAACCGAGTAATTTTGCATAAGATACACATCATGTTTCGATGTTGCCCAGAGCAGATTCCTCAGCTGCAAAATGCAAAGACAAACAGAAGACCAGAACATCAATAACAAAATTCTTCCGATTAGAATATTCAAAACTCCTGTTGGAAACAAGAGCTAAAATCAGAGCAGGTCTTTCAAGCATGAAAATTTGAAGCAAATATTATGCTACATACATATAGTTGCTCAATCTGCACCATTAAAAACAATTAGGCCATTGACTGATGTTTATATTGTATAATAAGTGTAGGCAGTTCTAAAATGAGGCTTTTGTAGTGAAGTACATGTGGAAACAAAAATTTAGCAAACACAAGAAGAAATTGTAATATAGATGCATGAGCAGTAAATAACAGGAAAGGAGCATGGAGCTAATTAAACATGAGAGAAGTTTACAAGCTACAAAAGGCTTGGAATGCATTAATAGAATGCCACATGCAGAAATGCAAATTTTGCGTTAATTTGGCCCCTTGAGCTTGATACAGGGTAGATAAACTACAGGAATTTGTACAGATGAGGCCTCTTAAATGCTCAGATATTTTCCTACCATACCATATAAAAACGTACTTTAACTGCGCCAGCTGCTCAGATATAACTTCCACCCTGCTTAAAAGGCTGAAATAAAGAGAGATGATCGTCCTAAATGCCACAGATTGGTTAAGCCATACGATATATTCAACAACTCAAAGAACATACAATCTATGAGATATTGCAATGAGTGCACATAAATCACAGGTCAACACACATGGAAGGCCAGACATGCATATCATGATAAGCTCCAAGTAGCATGTGCTATGAAGGCTCAACCAATAATATAAAACAAGAACATCCAGAAGATAGATGGTCTGCAGGAATCATGAATGGAAATAAAAAACACTATTCCACTACAATTAGAGCTAACTGCCATAGTTTCATACTACAAAAGTTTTCAGATCTTGTGAAGTTAGCAAACATGCAACAGTAATTTATATTCATTTTACTCCTGTAATATCTAGCACAGGAATCATTATTGATACTAGCTTGAGACTCTTAAGAGCATATGAGGGTTGATGGATCCATCAGTGGATGTACAAAGTAAGTATCCTTCAAAAATCTGCAGCAAAGAGTATTAGTAAACATGACCCCCAGCTTGGTGCTATTTAGTTGGGGGGGTGGGGGGGGGGGGGGGGGGGGGGGGGGAGGCGCATTCAAATATTTCTGGAAGCTGAAGGTATGTTTAAAGAGCGATGAAATTTTTCTCACATTAATTTCCAAAAAATATACTTTCAAATCCAGGAACGATTTAATCACCATCCTGTAGGCCTGCAGAGGAATTGGTCGATGGCCTCACTGGATGATAATTTATGCTGGAAAACTAATGTCAGTTGTTCATAAGTTGACAGCATCCCGAATAATTAGAGAAATGCTAAACCTAGCATAAAGCTTATCAATTTTAAACTCCATACCTCTGAAAAATTCAGGCACAGAGCTATAATCGCATATAAAGATATCCATAAAGGATATAATATAATCACAACACCTGCAAAACTATAATGATTTTGCAATAATCGATGTTTGAACCATATGTTAGAGGAGATCAGTTTAAATATGGGGTGGTGAGTTGTGTTACTGTACTGGAGATGCATTAAGCGTGGATCTCATGATGTGCAGCAGTTTTATAAACTTACAATATATAAAATATGGAGGGCTTGGGCAATGAGAAAGTTCTTATGCATCAAGACTCCTGACCATGAAAAAATGCAATTTTATGATGTGGGGAAAAAAAATAAAGAACTCCACGTTAAATAAATTTTTAGAACAAAGAAATGAGATGAGAAACTCAACACTGAAACAATGCGATGAATTCTCCAAAATGATGAAACTCATTTTGTTGATGAAACATGAAATCAATTAAATAGGCGAGTGTAAAGTACAACAGCCTCTACCTGAAAATGAACGATTGTGGATTTGACAAGCCTTGTGTTGTACTGAAAGTCATAAAAAGTCTGTCCCTTCTCTACTTCCAAGCATTCCTGTTAATTAAATATACTAATCAGATATTCTCTTATTAAGTTTTTGCTCGAGAAAATAAAATAACATGTTCATCTTCCATTCAACTTTAATAATCAAATCACTTCCTCTTCTACCGAAAAAACCAGAACATAAAATAGCAGTGAACAGTCCCTATTTAGATCAATACCGAGTAAACAATACAAGCTAGCTAAGAATTCTAGCAAACAGACCTTATCAAGCTCGGAGCGAGGAAGCGAGAGGTTCTCGTAATTCTTATACTGCTTTAAACGCGTCTCACGGTACTTATCTCTGGTAAAATTAAGCCTCTCCCAGGATATTCCCTGTATATCCTTGCCGTTTCTTGCCTCTAAAGCAGATGTATCAGTCTGTGGCTTACTCTGCAACACCATCCCTCGCCATCAATCTTCTTTCATACACCAAAAACCAAATAAAAACAAAAACAAACGTACCGATTCGAAGTCATCTTCAAATTCGGAGTCCACAGCGTCATCCAAATCGTCGTTTCTTTGAGGCTCATCTTCTCTGAATAAATCGTCTCCAAAAGGATCATCAACTACGTACTCGAGATCGTTGTTGTGGAAGTGATCCATTATCCTACAACACCAGAAAACCGTAATTCAATCAATCAGTACATAAATAATTTGAAATTAAAATAAAATTAAGGACCTAATTGAACTTAATGATTCGCCAGAACCTTTTAAGAAATACAAAGGTCGGTCTCCAGCAACTTTGCAATTTGGTATATAACTGATTATACGATGTTTGCATCAAGCGTGATTAACTAGACTAAGAGTTAAAAAAAATTATATATATAATTTAAAGAAACAAAAAAAAGAGTAAAAATAGTGGTAAATGAAAGAGGTTTTCATCGTTACATTAATCAAACGCGCAAACACAAGCAGCCAGATAATCCGAATTTTGGTAGACCTTAAAGAGAGGAAGGGGTAGGAAGCGAAAGATAAAACGTAAATGAGAACGTAAAATAAAGAAATTCTCTTAACTGTTTCCTGAGAAACGAGCAGAAAAATAACAGAGGTAAGGGATTTCTGATTTGGAGCAGGAATCTTGGGGAAAACAAGGCGTTGGATTTGGTATTCCACGAGAGAGAGAGAGGGAGAGAGAGAGCTGTGAGTGTTTTTGCTTGTTAGAGGGAGAAAAAAACGGTTTCTGTTGTAGGAAAGATGGAAGGAAGCATCTAGAGCGAGAGTTGCCAGAACAGCGGACCCTGACTTGGGACTTATAATGGTGATTTCGGAGTGAGAGGGAGTGAGTTCGGACCCACTGGTGGGCCTAATCTGTGAGGGTTTAATTGTGTTTATTTTTAAAATGATTTTTATTTAAAAAATTAATAATAATATTTTTTATTTTTAAAAATTTATTTTTGATATTAACATATAAAAATATAAAAAATATATTAATTTAAAAAAATAATTTTTTTAGAAATACTTTTAAAATATAACATCATTAATGAAAATAAAAATAAAATGTGTGGTGCATGTTTGGTACAGGCTGTATTTTTATTTAGAGATATATATAAAAAATTTATAAAATTAATGTTAATTTATTAAAATTATAAATTTAATATTTTTAAAAAATAAATATATTTTTAAAATGCAACTTACAAACAGTCACTTGGAAGCCCAGGATACACTCAAACCGTCTTTATTTAATTAACTTTTAATTTTAATTTAATTTCTCTCTTTTTTTTCATACAGGAAAAAGGATGTTGATGTTTTTCAGAAATTAACTGTCACTTTTGTGTGGAAGTTCCTCGAACGTCCAGTGATGAGCTGTAATTGATAAAGTATTATTTCCTATTGCTATAGTGGTTTTATGTAAAGTATTTTAAAAAATATATATTAAAAATATTTTTATTTTTTAAAATTTATTCTTAACATCCTTAGTTAAAAAAATTAAAAATTACAAAAAAATAATTTAAAACAAAAAATAATAATTTTTACAAGCGCTTTTTACCACACCATTTCACATTGTTTAAAAAAAATATTTTAAAAAAATATATTTTTTATATCAGTATATTCAAATTATTTTAAAATATGAAATAAAAACTAACTTCTAAAAAAATCAAATTTTTAGCTAAACTTTGTTTTATCCGCTATGAGATACACCTTTGTGAGGAAACACTCCGGTTTTCTCTTAATTTGTATCCTTTTCGGGTTTTTTATATTTCGTTTTCCTCATTTAGCGTTTTTTTGCATAAACAGTGCGATTCTTCTAGAATTCTACGGTGCAATGTATCTGGCAAGTTTAGAGATTCTTTTATTGTTTTAAAAATAGGGAAGAAAATCTAGGACAACGGCTCACATTTATTGGTAAGATTATTTGCGCGTTTGAGACTACACATCAAAGTAATTTTTTAAAAAGTTAATTTTTTTATTTTTATTTTAAATTAATATATTTTTTATATTTTTAAATTATTTTAATATACTAATTTCAAAAATAATTTTTAATAAATAAAAAATATTTTAAAAAATAATCCCAACCACCACCCCTTAAATGTCATTTAATCTTTCATGGCAAATTTCAAACGAATCCTGGTTACTGTAACGAAATTCTTCATGGAATAGTCATTGCAAAGAAACCATGCAATATTTTTTACGAAAAGAAAGAAAGTGCAGCTCGCTTCTGTCAACTTACCAAGCATTCACCCCTTTTTATTAAAAAAAAAAAAACAACGTCTTCTTTCTTCTCTTTTTTAAAGAGATTTCGCTCTTTATTCCTTGAAAGGTAGAGTCACTATGTAAAACTAAAGAGAGAGAAATTATATTATCTTGATCATGTTTTTATCCAGGTGTTAAAAAAATTATCATGAGAGATTGATGTTTTATTGTGGAGTTCTTCTTCTCAGGTTTCGTTATTCATTCGTAACACTATTTACGGAGCAAATTTCCTTCATTTATCCCTCTAAAAATTTATCTTTATTTCAATGAGGTCATCCAATTTTCATTTCTTTCAATCCGGTCCTCAAAAATTGATGCAAGATGGTCTATGGGAATTTATTTTTCCTTATTTATAGTTACTTTTTCTACTTAATCTAGAAAAATAAATATTATACTTAATATTTTTTTTAATTTATTTAGGACTTTTATTACATTTTTTTATTTTCAAGCTTCCTACTCTATCTTTGATTGATTTTTAAATTTATTTAAAAAATTATAAATTTCTTAAAAAAGGACTATTTAAGAAAAATATTTAGTAATGAAATCTTGAATTAGGGTTCTGGTGTCCGTATAATAATCTTATTCATTATAATTCTATATTATTTATACTCATTGTTTTTCTTGTGTTATTTTTTCTCATATTAAAAGTTTTATTGTGATTATAATGGATCTTTTTATTCTCTTCGTATTGTATGTTATCGCGTGTATAAAGTGTCAAATATTCTCTTGGGGTTAAATGACAAATCAATTTTACATTATAAGATTTCTAACAACTACAAAGAGCAAAACTAAAATAACAAGGATTGAAATTAATACAGAAAAAAATTGACATCATTCTTCCATGCTAGTTGTTCGAGAGGTGTGTAAATCCAAACTCTCATCCCTTAATTTTTAAATTTTTTACATATTATCCCTTATCTTTATGGATTTTTTGTTCAGGTCTTTAATTTCATTTATTTTATGTTATAGTTCCTAAATTTTGAGAAATAAAATATTATATCACCGTAAAACTTCGAGGAGAAAGAAATCTTAGGTGACTTGGAATCAAACCACTAATAATTTTTATTTTTGTATCATTAACTTAGCTTTGAAAAATAAACTTAACAGAGGTTGGATCACTTTCAATGGTGTTAGAAAAGGCATATAAAAAATTATAATTTTTTTATTTGATTTTATTCTAAATTTTTAGGAATTTGTTTCACTGTTGAAAACGATATTGTATAGATTTCTATGTTTTTTTATTGAAGTTGCTGGATAAAAAAATAGTTAGAATCTGGATTTTTAGGATTTAAAATTTAGCCAGTTATTTATTTTTTTAAAACAAAAATAGAATCAGCAAAATTGTCCTCCCACTAAGGAAAAAAAATAGTCATACTGGGTTTTCATGTGAATGAGAAACGAGGACCATTCTTTTAACCTAAACTCGTCTGACTCTTTAATTTTTTATCTCATTATTTTATTTTATTTTTGTATTTTATAATTATAGATTTTAAAGATAAAATTATTTGAATGAATGTTTAGATAATTATCATGTTATGGTAATTATCGCGTCTTTTATAATAACACTAATGATTATTTTTTGAATAATTATATATGAATTTGATGTGTATAATTTTATAAATACAGATAAAATATCTATTTTTTTAGTTTTTATGTAATTTTTATCAGGTTCATAATTGTTATATCCTTTAATAAATTCACATAAAAATTATTAGTTTAATATTTTTTATTAAGATTTTCTTTTAAAAACATTATAAGTTTTTTTAAAAAAATACTTGTGATTAAAGAAAATTTAGTCAAAATAATAAAATAACATCGTAAAAAGGGAAAGACGTTAAAAAGATGTCTTACCTATACTCATTTCAACTCGTTAATTTTTTTTATATTGATTTTAACTGAATATAGCTTCTATGCAATAAACAATACAGTGAAAAACAAATTCTGCTAAAAAATACATTAATAACAAAAGGAGAATTTATATTATCAATTATATTTTTCTATATAATTTAAATTATTATTCTTCTCATGAAAAAATCATTTTTATTATCAATTAATTAAATAAA